CTGGTACCTGCCCCAAAAAGGGTAAAAATTTTGAATATACATGAGGGTCGTAAAACGTGAAATTAACATTTGATTACATTTAGACTTAGCATATCTCAATATTTCTATCAACACAAGATCTGTTATGAAGATGGTAGAGATCGGACCACTTCTTCTGGCAACTCCCCCACAAAGTTTACAGGTTTGGAATAACCATAACGGTTATAAAATCCGAAATAATCATCTGACTTCCTTATATTTCACACACCCTAGTATTACTACTTGCACAAGATCTTCTGTAAAAATTAGGTTTACTGGTCCTCCCCCATAAAGGATCAACATTTTGAATATCCAAGGGGCTTATAAAATGCGAAATTGACATCCGATTCCATTCAGACTTGGTACATCTCAATATTTCCATCAACACAAGATCTGTTAAAAATATAGTAGAAATCGGACCTCTTCTTCTGATACCTCCCCCACAAAGAAAGCGAAATAAGCACTCAACTCTCTTCAAATTTCACGCATACAAACATTTTTGCTAACACAGGATGTGTTGTGAGGATGATACATATCTTCAAACCCCTTCTGGTACCTTACCCACAATTTTCAATATTTTTATCTGTCCTTACTTGCGAAACATGTCCTCGATTCTTTACAACTTCCAACAACTAAATATTTCTCTCAACTAGAAACCTGAATAAATACGGAATTTATGATTTCGCATAAAATTGGATATAATTGTTCGATTTTCTAGTAATTTTGCCGATACCATTATATTATCTGTTTTAGATGAATTATGAAAATGGAAAACTTCGGTCGAGTATATTGGGTACCTCACATACATTTTAATATTTTCTAAAAATTATCACATATCTCATATAAAGTGAAGGAAGTACTCGATATAGTCCAAACCTGGCAAGTCGCAATATTTATATCATATTTATTTAGGTCCGATACGAAATTGACAATATTGGACCATTCCTTCCCAACCTTCTCCATAGATGGTCTACAATTTGAATAATTATAACACAAATCAAAATAAATTTAAGTAATCGAGCATTGGGTGAGGGTATACATCTGCCGACTTAACAGACTGATACTTTTTAGCTTGTTTTTTTATTGTTCTTCTTTAAAATATCCATTCTTGACATAATCAATAAGAACTGTCCGCTGAGACTTTTTATATTCCCTTGTATTATTTCCCTAAACCTACCTAAACACTTAAAAATATATTCTTTATTTTTAAAAATAATTTTTTTATTTTTTTTTTTATTAAAAAAATGAAAAAAAAAAATTAAATCGCCCCCGGGTGGGCTCGAACCACCAACCTTTCGGTTAACAGCCGAACGCGCTAGCCAATTGCGCCACGGAGGCATATGTCAGATGTCTCCGTTACAACACAGCTGAGGTAAAGTTTAGCAGATGGTTTGTGTGTTGGTATTGGTGTGGCTGTGCGAGCTTTCTCCGGCAAGTAGAAAAAATATGAAACGATTCTATTTTTAGAAATTCACCATAAAACAAATAATAATATATATTTGTTGCTATAAAGAGCACAGTGGAGGAAAATTTTGCAAGAGTAACACATTTTTAAGAATATAGGAAAGAAGGAAATATATATGAATTTTTAATAATAATAACAATAATAATAATAGTAACAATAATAATAATAATTATATGTAATGATGAATCTTAAGAGGTCTTCCAAAAAGAGAACAAATTGAAAAAAAAACGTTAAACCTTTCGAATAGATAATCTTTTGCAAGGTCTAGATAAGGTAAAATATCGTCAAAATTCCCTTAAAAACGTTAAAAGACCTTTAAATTAAAACTTTTTAAAGGCCTCCTATACGTTACTTTTTTAGTAAGTGAACGATAAATTAGAATAAATTACGATTCAAAAAGGCTTCCATAGAACAGAAGACCCTTGAAAAAGGAAGGATACACCTCTCAAATCGAGGAATTCGTAATGGTGTTCTAAACTTTTTAAGTGTTAAAATATATACCAGAGCTCAGATTTGTTCGACTTTGCCAGCGAGTGAAAAATACTTTAGGAAGGAGTACTCGAGTAAGAATTTTTAAAGTTTGCTCTACGCTTTTTATGTTTTATATGAAAATTCTCGCGGGTACTCCTATTTGAAAAATAAGAGTGGGAGTCAAAATGTTCGAAATAGAGCATAGAGTAATTCGAACGTAGAATGCAAATGCAAATCCAACCAACTAAATTGTGTAGTATCGCAATATCAAAATGTGAATTTGTATAGCATAACAAGATGTCTTATGTTCTAATATAATCCTCAAGAAGTAATTTTTTAATTGAGTTAAGTCTTATGTATATAAGACCATAAAGACATTCTTACAATAATAGTCCTCCCAGAAGCCCTAATAAACAAATTGGGTCTTTAAGGGTGTCTAAGATGTATATTCTACCTGTTATATGGCTTTCTTCAATACTTAGGAGATCTTGTCAAAAGATCTCCAAGGTATGGACGACCTCCATAGAGTCCTTGAATACATAAAAAAAAACATCTTTAAGATGTCTTCTTCACATAGAAAACCCTCAATAGGTGTTGTGGAAGTAGACAACCTTCAAGAAATAAGAGAACACTTCTCAAAATGTTTTCTGCACATAGAGCTCTTCAAGAGGTATTTTATAAATCGAATACATTTTTAAGAGGCTTTCTACAAACATAAGAAGATTTCTGGACACAGAGGTCTTGAAAATAAAACTCATCTCAAAGATATTCTACACATAGAGGACACTCTCTCGAGGTCCTTGAGAGGTCTACTAGAAATAGGTGGAGATAAGTCCTCTGAAGGCAGGAGCGCTTTTACAGATATTCTAGCGATAAAGGGGCATTTCGCAGGCTTTATATGGACAAACATGTTTAAAAGGTCTATAATAGAATAGGGACTCTTCATTGGTTATCTTTGCACTGGTCTTGTTTCTAGGATGAATTCAGTTGAAAATGTCAAAATTCCGTCCATTTGGGCTTATATTAGCCATTTGGTGCACAATAAGCCTGATATATGTGAGAGCTATACACAAATCTGATCAGATCTCGATAAGATTTGACTGAGGTCTATAAGCTCTACAAGCGAACCAAATATCATTCCTGTGGAGTGCATATTACGCATGTGAGGGACTTAAAACCCAAAATCGGAAACATATATGTGGGAGCTATAGGCATATCTCAACCAATTTTAAGTACTTGCTTCTACAATGAATACGGTCGGATGTGCCAAAATTTGGACTGATATTGGCCATTCGGTGCACAATTAACCTGAAGTCGGTTTAGGACATATATGGCAGCTATATCTAAATTTGAACCAATTTAGTGTTCGTCCTTAAGCCAAACACATATTGTTTGGAAAAGTCACCTGCATTTTGTTTACAAAAATACATGAACAGAGCATAAATCCGCTCAGAAAGTGATTCTATGAAGATCTTCAAAGGTAAATATGGGTCTATCTCGTTTCCTTCTCCTTGTAACAAACAAATGCACATGTAGCCTTTGGCAGAATGGAAAATCTTTGATAGGATGGAAATGGAAAATCTTTGATAGGCATTAGGGAAGAAGGCGGTTTTAATAAGTCTTTCATAGGTGGATAACCTTTCAAGAGTCTCATTAATATAGAAGACCTTTGACAGGACAGTAGGGGGGATTATCTCTATGAAGATGAATCACAAATCTACTGTCTTTAGGACATAGCAAGAGGTGCGGCTCTGAATACCTTATCTTCTCTGAAAGGTCAATTTTATATATTTTCTTTACATTTTGCCTCAAAAGCCATTATTTCTCCGTTGGGCTCAAACCTGAAATTGGTTCGAGAGGCATTTCTGGCTACGCCGGTTTTATGGAACTTTTGAATGTTTTCTACACAAATAAAACTTCTTTAAGAAGAAGTAAAATGGCTTCTATATTTCGGTAGTCGGTTAAATGATCTCTAGAAAGGCGATTTGAAATTTTCCATCTCCAGAAAATTTTTAGAATTATTTATCCAGAGCTAAAAAATGCTCGTTCGAATTTAAGTAAAGAGTTAAACTCAGTCAAATTAAGGCGGAGTACTTCTGCGTGTTAAAAAAAAATTTAACATGCTTTACTTTTCCATACCATTCCAATAAAAGCAAGTATGCGCTGCTCATTTCTAAGTGGGAGGGAAATGCGCTCCTGCCTTTAGTTGGTTTGCCGTTGAGTTTTTGTGAGCATGTGTATTTTTATACCCCCAGTCATATGGTTACAGAGGGTATATATAATTTGATACGGCCAAAACGTGCCTCACCGAAATAACGGTTTTAGACCCAAGGTCCCATAGGTCCACCCCTTCTTACCTTCTCCACAAAAGGTCAAAATTTTTATAGAAAATAATTTTAAGACAACAACGGATCATCCAAATTGAAGGGTTTTCCATTCGAGACCCAAAATCTCTTATAGGCCTACTAAATGTGGAAGACCATTTATGTTTCGTTGGATTTTATAGGATTTTGATGTAGAAAATACGAGTAATTTGTTTATAAAAATATTTATTACTTCTAATATCAAATTTTTACAACAAAGGCCATCACTCTACAACAACAACAAGAAAAAAATCCAAGCATTTATTAACGGAAAAAACTACTCGTGATAATGGATGACTTTCTAACAGGGAATCAGAATTTCCAAACAAAGTGAAATGTGGATGATAAGAGTACGAATTCGAAATGGAGGTGTTTTGGCCGAGAGATAGTGAAAAAAAAAATGTCGCTGATTAGATTTGGAAAGCTAATGGAGTGGGGGGCAGGGGGGGAGGTATGGAGATTTTAAATGACTGAGTTTATTTTTGTTGTGTATTCATGTTTGTTTTCTAAAAAGCAACTCAGAGCAGCAACAAAAGCAAATAAATAGGCAAAGTAAAAATTCTGACAAAAAGCAAAATGGAACAAGGACAAAGATAAAAAATGGAGAAAAAATTGCAACGGAATTTCATGGTGGTAAGGAGCATTTGGGTGGAAAAACACCAAAACCGCCTGCCCCTACTTACCCTATGAAATCTTTGATAAAACAATAAACCTTAAAGAGGCCGCGATCATTATTGAGCAAAACATCCGGCTGTAGCACTGGCAAATAACAGTTGCAACAATCTCCCCGGTGCTCGGAGTGTTGTTGCAAATGGGGTGCAGCATGCGTGTGAGGCGCAGCATGGGTGTAGGGCAAAGACGACGATGAGGGGGCAGCAGATGACGACGACAGAGATGGTGGTACTGCTGTCACTGGTAGTGGTAGTGGTGCAGAGTTGGAACAAGAAGCAGTAGCAGCAGCATTTGTTGCATGATAGAATTGTTGTGGCTGTGGTTGTTGTAGTTGGAAGTGGTGTTGGTGGTGCGGATGCTGGTATTGAAATTGTTGATAGTGTTGCTGTTGTTGGTGCTGTTGCGGCTGTGGCTGTTGCAGCTGCAAATTAAGTGTCTCTTGTTGCTGATGATGGAAGTGATGAGCATGACTGTTGCTTGCAAGTGGTTGCTGCTGCAGTGGTTCTAAGCTGGTGGGCCTAAACGTTGCCATTGTTTGTTTGAAGGCGTCTGAACGTAGCTAGCCTACGATTAATTGAGCATCACGACTTGGGTGCGAGCGTTCGATACTCGAAGCATAACTTTTGCCAAATTATTGTTACAGAAGCAATGGCAAGGTAATTAATATTTTTATTCAATGTTTCGGGGTGGAATGTTCTTTGGTAAGGCCACCCACCATTTTCTTTTGGAATCAAAGAGTTTTCTTTATTGTTTTACAGATTTTTTTACATCAAAACACTTCGTTTTCTTAAGTCTTTGATATCAGCGCCTTAAGAAAGAGTTTAGAAACATTTTTTAAAATAAAATGTTCAGTTTGAATAAAATTATAAATAAAAAAAATTCTAATTAAAAAAAAATTATAATTCAAATCAAATTATGATGTTTAAGATTTGAAAAAAAAATATTTTTAATTAAAAAAAAATTAATATAATAAAATTTTGATTTGTTTGTTTTTCATTGTTGTTTTGCATGAGAATGAATGGAAAATTTACATTGTATTATTCAGATAAAATGCAACTACTTCAAACATTCATGCATATCTATATTATTTGTATGTGTTTTTTTTTCTGGTGTATTATGTATGTAATTATTGTACAGTTATGATTTTATTTGAAATTGGACAGAGAGATGTACTGGAAGAAGATTCCAATGAATATTCCACAATGATATATTTTTCAAATTGGTTTTCAAGGACCTACAAGAACGTTGATTTTTTTTTAATATCTTTTGAAGGACTAAAAATGAATGTGGATTTATCAAAAAAAAAAAAAAAAAAAAAAATCAAGACCTATCACGAACGTTAATTTTTTTAAAAATATTTTTAAGGACCTAATACCAAACGTGGATTTTTTAAAAATATTTTTTAAGTACCTAATACCAAACGTAGATTTTTTTTTAAATATTTTTAAAGGACCTAACACCAAACGTGGATTTTTAAAAATATTTTTTAAAAACATAATACCAAATGTAGATTTTTTAAAAATATTTTTAAGGAATTAATATCAAACGTGGATTTTTTAAAAATATTTTTAAAGACCTAACATCAAACGTGGATTTTTTAAAAATATTTTTAAAGACCTAATATCAAACGTGGATTTTTTAAAAAATCTTTTTTAGGGCCTAATACCAAACGTGGATTTTTTAAAAATATTTTTAAGGACCTAATATCAAACGTGAATTTTTTAAAAATATTTTTAAGGGCCTAATATCAAACGTGGATTTTTTTAAAATATTTTAAGGACCTAATATCAAACGTGGATTTTTTAAAAACATTTTAAGGACCTAATATCAAACGTGGATTTTTTAAAAATATTTTAAGGACCTAATATCAAACGTGGATTTTTTAAAAATATTTAAGGACCTAATATCAAACGAGGATTTTTTAAAAATATTTTAAGGACCTAATATCAAACGTGGATTTTTTAAAAATATTTTAAGGACCTAATAACAAACGTGGATTTTTTAAAAATATTTTTTAAGGTCTAACATCAAATGTGGATTTTTTAAAAATATTTTTTAAGGTCTAACATCAAATGTGGATTTTTTAAAAATATTTTTTAAGGTCTAACATCAAATGTGGATTTTTTAAAAATATTTTTTAAAGACCTAATATCAAATGTGGATTTTTTAAAAATATTTTTTTAAAGACCTAATATCAAACGTGGATTTTTTAAAAATATTTTTTTAAGGTCTAACATCAAACGTGGATTTTTTAAAAATATTTTTTTAAGGTCTAACATCAAACGTGGATTTTTTAAAAATATTTTTTTAAGGACTAACAATAAACGTGGATTTTTTAAAAACATTTTTTTAAGGACTAACAATAAACGTGGATTTTTTAAAAATATTTTTTTAAGGACTAACAATAAACGTGGATTTTTTTAAAATATTTTTTTAAGGACTAACAATAAACGTGGATTTTTTAAAAACATTTTTTTAAGGACTAACAATAAACGTGGATTTTTTAAAATATTTTTTTAAGGACTAACAATAAACGTGGATTTTTTAAAAATATTTTTTGAAGAACTAACATCAAACGTGGATTTTTTAAAAATATTTTTTGAAGGACTAACATCAAAAGTGGATTTTTTAAAAATATTTTTTTGAAGAACTAACATCAAACGTGGATTTTTTAAAAATATTTTTGAAGGACTAACAATAAACGTGGTTTTTTTAAAAAATATTTTTTGAAGAACTAACATCAAAAGTGGATTTTTTAAAAATATTTTTTGAAGAACTAACATCAAACGTGGATTTTTTAAAAATATTTTTTGAAGGACTAACATCAGAAGTGGATTTTTTAAAAATATGTTTTAAGGTCTAACATCAAACGTGGATTTTTTAAAAAAAATTTTTTTTGAAGGACTAACATCAAAAGTGGATTTTTTAAAAATATGTTTTAAGGTCTAACATCAAACGTGGATTTTTTAAAACTATTTTTAAAGTTCCTTTAAGGACCAACAACTAAATGTGAATTTTTTAAAAATACTTTTTCCACGGAATTTTTATAGATCCTTTTTCTAAGACCAACAATCGTGGATTGTATGAAAATGTTTTTTAAGGAATTCTTAAAGATTTTTTAAGGACCAACAATCAAACGTGGATTTTTTAAAAATGTTGTTTTTTAAGGAATTTGCAAAGATCCTTTTTTTACGGACCAACAATCAAACGTGGATTTTTTAAAAATGTTTTTTTTTTTAAAGAATTTGCAAAGATCCTTTTTTAAGGACCAACAATACAAGGAATTTGCAAAGATCCTTTTTTGAGGACCATAAACAAAACGTGAATTTTTAAGGAGATTTTAAAAATCCTTTTCTAAGGACTAACATTATATGTGGATTTTTAAAAAGGGTTTTTCAAGGATTTTTTAAAAATACTTTTTAAGGATCAACAGTGTGGATCTTTTAAAAATGTTTTTTTTTACAGACTTTTTAAAGATCCCTTTTTATGGACCTACAATAAACGTGGACTTTTTAAAAATATTTTTCTAAGGAATCGGAATTTTTAAAAAGACGTTTTTTTATATCCTATTTTGAGGAACTTTCTTTTTTAAGGAACGTAGATTTTTAAAAAATATGTTTTTGACGGAATTTTTTAATATTCTTTTTTAAGGACCAACACTCAAAGGTAAAGTTTTTGATAAACTTTTTTTTAAATGCCATCTATAAATATATTTTAAAAAATATATATTTTTTGAGGGACCAACAGAAATGTAGATTTTTTCAATTGCCAATTTTAAAACAAATTAAGAGAACTATCCAAAAATGGATTTTTTTTTGAAAAATTATTTAAGATAGGAGCCATTAGAGTCTAAACAAAAGGATTAAAAAATATATATTTTTTAACGAGCCTTTAGATTATAAATAGGATTTGAAAACATTTAAGAGCCTTACGAGTCAAGTTTTTTTTTTTTTTTTTTTTTTTTTTTTTGGAAAAACAATTGAAGAGCCATTAGAACCAGCTTCAAACGTAAATTTGTTAATTTATATTTTTGAAGGTGAACAAGCGTGCACGTTAAATATTGTAATGTATTGAAAAAAACGTGGATATTTTAAAATTTGTAGAATTTGTTAGAAAACATTAGGTGCTAAAAAACGTAGAAGTGTATAATTTACGAAAATATTTTCAAAAGTCTGAGAAAAATTGTAATTTCTAATTATTTACCGTAGTTTGACAAGGAATGTGGATTGTTTTAAAATATCTTCTTACAGTTTCACAGTCAAAAACGCAGATTTTAAATATTTTATCAAATATTTTTTTTATAACATTTATTAAAACTATGAAAACCGAAAAATCTGCTTTAAAAGGTTCGCACTACAAAAAAAGCTTTGGCTGGTTTTTAATTTTTTTCGAACGAAAAAAAATTTTAATGCTATTTTTTAAGGGATTCATTCAAATCAAAAATATTGGTGTTTTGTATACATTTTTTGAAGACCAACAACAATAGAAAAATTTTCAAATTTTTAGGATTAAAATTTTAACAAAAATTTAAGATTCTAATTTATTTCCATTCACTACACAAAAAGTCCATTTAGTGTGTTTGTCACACACACACACGAAAAAAAGGATATCCTTTCAGTTATCCTTCTTCTCCTAAGGCCTCATAAATGAACGCCATAAAGGAACCCCATATGTGTATTTATGATGACACTAAATGACAGTGACACAAGTGACATATATTTGTATTTATATACCATGTAGACAACAAAAGCGGCGACAGCAGTAAGGAGAGCATAACAACACAACCGCACAACCACATTGTGACATTTCAAAGACCACCAACAACGACAACAATAATGTCATGTCAAAAAATGTTAACACAGAAAACCAACAAGTTGCTGGTAATATTCATAGCTGACAGTAATCATCATCATCACCATCGCCAGCACCACCTGAGAGGGCGAAAGAGAGAGAGAGAGAGAGGAGAGAAAATAATTACACATAGCCTTGATAAATATTGTTTGGCCTCGCCACAGAAGACAGCAACTAAATTGCTTGGCTGCTAAGAGCGAACTTAAGAAGAACAACATGTTGATCAAACAACATATGGTTCGAAGAGGAGAAGATATGAGACTTTTAGGATGATAAATTATTTTAAAGGACATATATATCGCTCATGTGGGTGAAGAAATTGTTGAGAGCGTGAGAGAGATTATGAAAGAAGGAATTTTATTTATGACTTCAAAAGTTATTTATTATTATAAATATTAATTATTAATAAAAAAAATTGGAATTGGATTTGGAAAAATGGATTTTTAATAACTCAGTGCGGCAGAATTAATTTTTTTCAAAAACACTGGGCAACACAAAAAATAATTATGGGGACTTGCAATAAACGTGGATTTTTTATAAATATTTTTAAAGGACTTGCAATAAACGTGGATTTTTTAAAAAAATATTTTTAAACGACTTGCAATAAACCTGGATTTTTTAAAATATATTTAAAGGACTTGCAATAAACGTAGATTTTTTAAAAATAATTTTAAAAGATTT